GCGATCGCCTGCCCCCTGCGGGCCGCGCCCAGTGGCTGGCTCTCTGCCTCCTGGATGCCAATCGGATTTTTCTCCGCGAGTTGGCTCCGCGCTCCGGTGGGGTGTGGTCTTTCTCCCCACCCCTGCGTTAGTTTTGGATGTGTTAACTCTTTGAGTTATCAAAATCAACCACAGCTGAGGCTCACGAAATCAACCTCCTCATCTTTAATTGGCAGGTCTGGGTTTGTGTCTGCCCAGCAGCCCTGCCCCTTAAACTCTTAACGCTAGTTTTCCCCTCCACCTGTAGAACCCAGGTCCTGAATTTGCTGAAGTTCAGGGGCAGGTGAAAGGTCGGTTGAGGTTGCCTCCCTTAGGACAGTTTCATTTTCCGTTTCTGCAGACTGATGAATTTATATCCATCTACAGCTGAGGTTCTGGAAGCATATCTTCAGATCCTTACTGGGGGCTCCATTACTGGGCGTTAATCTGGACCCGAAAGTTCTTCCCCTTACCTTGATGCCAATGTTCTGGCCCTTCTATCTATCCACAGATAATTCTAATCCCAATTGTTCTCATGTTAACAAATTAATCTCTTTTATTCACTACTGCATTGTCCACGGACAGAAAATTAAGTTTGCAAGTCAAACTGCTAGGAGTGACAAGCGAGTTCAGAGTGAGGGTCAGCAGCCAAGAGACGATGGGGAAGGGGATCAGAATCCTCATCCTCCTCATCTGTGAAATGGGGCTTGGACTGAGCTGACCATGGCAAGACTGAGTCGAGGTCAGTGCTCCCTCTCTCCACAACAGCCAAGGACCCAGGGTCCTCACTAGGTTTCTCCAAGAAGACAAATTGGTTCCCCACTCAGGGCCTTTGGATATGCAGTTGGTTCTGGCCTAAATGCTTTTGGTGGATCTTGGCACTACCACTCTTCTCATCACTGGTTTGCCTCAAAGGACAGCTCTTTGGAGGAAACTTCCCTGACCACCAAGTTGGTAGAACCCCAACCCCAGCGACGTCTAGTTCATTCATCTAATTTCTGCTGCTGCATTTACCAAGAGTGACCAACTCTTGTCCATTTACTGGCGATTTGCCTGGTTTTAGCACTAAAAATCGAGCAGTCTGGAAAACCCTTGAGTTCCAGGCATACAGGGGTAAGTGGTCACCCTACCAAGAATTCAGAGTTAGGAGTCTCTGAAGCTGACATCGTTACACTGACCTTTTGAAGACTTCAACCCCTCCTCTCTGTTACAGTCCCCTGATTCTGCACACCACACTCTCTTCTTATGGTCCCACCCGGCAGCACATTGAAACTTTCCACTGACCTGGGCTTTCATACATACAACCTTAGGAACAGAGGTGAAGAAAATATCGATTTTTAATTTGAAACACGATTCAATGAAATGTTTCCAAAAGAGGTATTGGTTCCTTAAAACAGATACAACTAATAACTTTTTTCATGAAAGCAACCTAAAAGTTCAACAATCAAAAGTAGTTTTGTGAATTATAATGTATCTACTCAGTAGAAAATTATAAGATTGTTTTAAAACAGTAGAACTATATAGCACATAGAAATGTACATAATGTTGATGTTTTAAAAGAATTATTTAATTTTATATATCATCATTACTATTTAGTTTGCTCCAGGACGCATGTTCTCACCAGAGAGAGAGAGGGAGAGAAAGTGAGAAAGCAAGTCACCAGGTCCAAGACCCTAACCATGGTTAGCCATGTGGAAGTCCAGCACCTTAACCACCATGCCACCTGCTGGCTCCAATGCTAAGCTTTTAAAACTGACATTCGTGTGTGGTTAAAATAATGAAAACTGTAAGCATCATGACTAACATTGAAAAGTTACACCAAAAATAGATACTGTTCTGTTGAGGTAATGGAATTACTAGGGGATTTTGTTCTGATATTTATTAATGTTTTATTGTGTGATTTATGGAATGAAGAATCTTTATGTAACTTGAAGTCATTTTCTATAAGAAGAAATGGTCATAGGCCTCCAGTTGACATGGCATTAGCATTCCTCAGTGTTAGCTCTTTTGAGCAAAACACACTTGTGCTGCCATTCCCAGTCCAGCTGGGTCAGGATCCAGAACCCCAGGTACCATATTGCCACACACCAAGAAAAGCAATAGCAAACTCAGCCATAGGTCAAGTCAAAGTTCTGGCTTTCCCACGATTCTCACCTGGTCTCCACCCTCAGACTTGATGACTTCTGTAAGTTGCTGGTCTTCCTGCAATTTGAAGTCCATTTCGTAATCTCCAAGGAAATGTTCTCTAGGTGACTGAGATTTGGAGGAAGACAGTATAGAGCTTCCATAGCCACCTTCAAAACACAGCCCAAGCACCTTCAGGACTCTACCTCTGGGTATCACTTCCTTCAGACAAAAAGAGCCCTCCTTGGGAGGGAATATTCCTGATGTAGGTCCTGGCTGCTTCTTCAGACTTGACTCCCTCCTCTCTCCCACATGCCACGGATCTGTTTGCTCATGCTCTTCTCTGCCTGTGCTGCCCTTTACCACCTGATACCATGCCTGCCTCATTTTCCCACCCACTCTCCCTGGCTAAACGCTTCAGCTTAATTGCCCACCCCACCCCCACCCTCATCCAGGAACTCTTTACACCTCCGCTCTCTCTCTCAGGTATTAAGTGTTCCTCCTCTGAGTTCGTGGAGTGCTATAATTGTTCCTTTACTCATCTGTCTCCCCTAGAAAATAGTGTTCCCCTGAAGGACCATGTCCTCTCTTTCTTTCCTGTCTTCCTTCTCTCACCCTCATTTTTTCTCCCTTCTTTCCTTTTGTTCTACTTCCTTTCCTTCTACCTTCCTCCCTCCCTTCTCCTTGCTCCTTTCTTTCTTTTTCTCGTTCTTTCTATATATTCCTTAGCACAATGTCTGGTCTATACGAGATGCTCAGTAGACCTGCTACATGAATGCTGAATTTCAGGAAATGGCTTCATTGCCTATATTTTCAATGATAATTTTTTTTAAAATGAGACTCCAGTGGGTGTGTGCTAATGGTAAGCAATTCACTGGGACTAGAACTTAAAAGCCGTATTTATTTAGTTTTCCAACATTGTAGTATAAAAATATTCAAAGATGTGGAACACAGATAAAGTTTATTATCTGTTGATGAGGATGTATATTATAGTCTCAACTGGGCTGTACTGAGGTGTAAATCATGCTGGGTTAAGCCTTCCCAATCTAAATGATGTATAGTGATTTAAGGTATGAATAATAATAATAATAAATATTTAAAGATGAATCAATTTTCAAAAAATTCATTCATTTATTTATTTTAGAGGTTTTTGCTTCAGGGCATGTGTACTTGTCAGATAGATAAAGAGACAGAGACAGTGAGAGGGACTGTGAAAAATCACCCCCCCCCCAGGGGGATGACCATACTGCAGTTCCTTCTCCTCCATTCTCCACCTGGGATCTTGGGCACGCACACACCCATCCCCAGCATGATTTTTCAAGCCAGCAGGGCCAGGACTCAAACCACAATGGCCATGTGGAGGTCCAGTGATGTAACTGCTATGCCATCTGCTGCCTCTGCAAAGCCTCTTCTTAAGATTACAATTCTTCCTCCTTCAGATGCAACCAGGTGGCCCTAAAACTCTCCAAGTACGGGGTGGAACCAGTAAGTTCTAAACCTCTAATTACTTGAAGCAAAGCACCCTCAGTGCCCACAGCATGATCAGTTTGGGCATTTTTGATCACCTTAATGATGTAAGCATGCATCCCACCTTTTAGATAGAACTAACAGAATTGTTTTAAAGGGGTTTTCTTTTTAACTATTTCACTTTAGCTTCACAATAACCCTATAAAATAGCAAAAGAATAAATTTTAACCATTTCACAGATAGGAATACTGAGGTGCAGGGATGTTAGCTTGCCTGTCTGGTCAGTGGAGTATGGACCTGGGTTTTGATCCCAGTTGTCCTCACACAGTACTTCGTCACAGTAGACTAAGAAATTGTACTCTCAATTTTGCATTGAGAGTTATCATCTACAATTTTCACTGAGCATGTAGCTTTCCAGCACTTCCTGGAGACACATAGATCCAGCTTAAAGTGAAGTCAGAGTGGGAATAATAGACTTTACGGAGAACAGCAAACCAATCAACATAGGTCAATGAATTGATCCAACAAGCCAATCAGCATAGGTCAATGGAATGATCATGACTCATGTTTTCATGGGGAATAGAGAGTGAAGGGCAAGCAGGTTAAATGAGAAGCTGCTTTTCCTCTCATATCTAGAAGAGGAGTT